AATCAGACCGCCTAATTCTTTTCCTCTCCGCCGGGTTATTGTGAAATCATATCATATATGCTGATTGTATTTAACAATATATTTTCAATACAGTAATAGTAAAACAAAATGTAAAGTAAACAACCTTGCACGCGCGAAAACACTCTCAAAATTTTGCTGTTGTAAATAATAGAAAGATTTTCGAGGGCCAAAAGTCGGGGAAACATCCATTCAACCGGTATTAATTCAGTGACTTCCTGAAACGCCATTTTATCGTCACTCATTGATTGAAACCTGGAAATAAATTCTAATTGACGTCCGTCGAATCGGATTAGCTTCAGGGTCTTGTACTTATACATTTCGTTTTTTATTACGAATATAAGGTCGTTTCTGTCCGACATCCAATCTTTTCGAAAAAATTATGGCTACCACGGCATGGGGAAAACCGCGATAGTTCATAACCGAAAGAGGTGTTTCCAAAGTATTTATAGATAGTGTTCGTTGCATAAGCTGGATTGTCTTCAATACAACCTGTTTCCTTCAAAACGATACTTTCTAATATTAGCCTCGATATTACAAAGATACCAAACAAAGCGCGAAGACGATTATCCTGTTATATGACCGATTGAAGCTAAAATTACGAAGAAAGTCCCGTGCACATTCCCGAGAGGAAACTTAGCGTCGTATCACACTGTTAAAAATGCATGCGTACTTCATATAGCAAGCAAAGATTCATATACGATTATAAATTTCCAGCAAACGATTCAAGCTTATAACGTAATGAGATATATCGGAAATTTAAGTCTCTTTTTGCAGCTTCAAAATGCAATTGAATAGAGGCTCAAATCATAAAAATTCCCTAGTAAGACCAGTACCCATGCGTCATATTTACATCAAGTTACACAAAGGGGTAAAAAGCGACATAAACTTTGCGAGATCCTTATATTTCGGGTACATGTACTTGGATCTAATAACAGCCGTAGTGATATAGAATTTACTTGAACTGGCTTAGGAGAACATAGAAATACACATTTTCTAATTTTCTGTTAAACATGTCGAAATTAGCGGCATTTACTATACATAATTGTGATTTTTAGAAATAAAAAATCACCAACCGACTTCTGAGACTGGTTAAAAAATTACGCATTTTCTCGTTATTTTTAGTGAGCACCAACAAACTAACAAATATATTGGTAAATATAGAGACCTTTTCCTGATTTTATTTATTTCTCCATGTGTAATCCCCAGTGCGTAATACCCGTGAACCACAATCGTTTTCAAGTAATTTTATATAACATATTTGCGTTATACACACTCACCAGCGCAAAAACATAGGGGAATGACGAGTGGCATTTCATCAAAACTACATGAATTAAAACGTTTTTCAACAATTTACGTTTTTGGGCGCAAAGTGTACGTATGGATAGTTCTGTATTTAAAGGACCTATTGATTAGTAATTTTCTGCAGTTGAGGATTGTATTTTTTTCTAGAATGCTATTACTTCTATTTATTATAAAAACTTCCTCTGTGATCTATGAGATTCGTTCTTTTTTGTGTGCGATGACGACATCAAAATTAAAAATTGCGCACCTTGTGGAGGTTCCGCTTTGCGATCTGAAGGTCAGGCGAAGTTGTGAAGACTGAGGTATGGATAGTCGATTGTGACAGGTTGCATACCCGTACTACTTTTCTTGGTCTTTGTGCCCATGTATTTGAGTATTGCTCTTTGTTGCAATTCCTATGATAAAGCTTTTCAAGAATTTGATAATCGAACTGAACAGACATGATGCCAATCACTCTAGGAAACGAGAAGGAAGCAAACTGAATCCGGCAAATCAACTGTCATAAAACACTTGCTTTCGTGTAATTAAATTGCATTCAAGGAAATGCCTATATTTCATTTCGCACGCTATACCAAATATGTACCGGAAGTCAAATTCAAAATAATTATGCACGTTCCATGTATAAGAGAAGGATAAAAAATACTGATCCGAAGTATCGGATACTGCTGCGGAAACAGATATTAGAAATTAGGAAATACGCTTGTCACCACCCTTGAAAACATTAACAAATACGCCATTTTAAAAACTCCGCAGTGAATGAGAGAGTTCAGTCAAATTTGGGTTGGGGCATTAAGATCGCTGTTTTCTGTGTATTGTTTTGCGATAAGTTTTAAAAATGGTCATAAAAATAAAATCAAAGGTATGTTTGCACATGTAGTATTAGTAAGAAAGATGCCTGTCTGAGGGAGTCAGAAATACATTTGTATTAGTGTGTAGCAAGACGGTGTATTGGTGTGTCGTCAAATTAGCACATTCGAGGCAGTATAATTTTGTATTTATTTACATGAGAAAATAGATAAATCTCAATCGAAAAACGCTAGAAGCACTGTACTATATTACAGTATCTTCCGATATGTTGTTGATTGCAAGATCCTTGTATTGTTGTAATTGCGCGGGACTGTACTTTTTGAAATTTGATTAACGCGTGCCTGATAATTTCTGAGACTTACCATCAGGCATATTTTTCGAAATAATTGCACTTCCTGGAATTATTAGGATCATGATGAATGTCATAATCTCTGCGAAGATCAATTACAAATACTTCGAATAGAGAGAGAGAGTATTGCGAGCCGTTTATCAGTTGACACCACAAAGGATGCACTAAAATCACATATTTTATTAAATTCCTCGATTTTCTATTTCGTAACAGCAAGCATAATTAGGTTTCAAGTTCAAATAGAGTAATACTTATCCCTTTGCGTGTGTTACATACGCTTGTGCCGGATACCAAAGCGACATAATCAATGTAGACTATACCACGGATGGCAGAACTTGTAACATGTAATATTGGACATAACCTCAAATATCAGTAGATCTGCCAGACATATTCTGACCAAGCATGTATATGTATAAAATATTACTATTATAGAACTATCATGCTTGGTATGAAACCATATCTAACATATCTGCCAATACAATGTTGTTGATATGTTTCATTACATACAATTGTTTTGAATAACGATCAATGTGGCTCGTTTTTTAGAGTTAGATATGTACGAAGAATTTTAGGTTATTTGTTGACATTGTAGTGACGTTTGCGCAGTATTTAAAAAAGTATAAAGCAAAGGTGATAGAAACGAGATCAAATTCCTCCATGCGCTAGATGCAAAAATATCATTTTGGTAATGTATGCATTGCACAAGATTACTAGTCGAGATCTCATCGTCGATAATTAATTGAACCTCTTGATATGAAAATTATTTTCGAAATTTTTATATTAATCTAATTTAGGTAATTAATCTAGTTTATTCACATTTATCAATTTAAAGTGTAATAGAGTGTATCGGGTTTGCTAGCGAGATATTCCACAGGCATAAAATGCGCCGCGATGACTGTTCCGATATTCTCAAACTTGACTCAGAATTTGAATTAGTAATGAATAGCAGCGGCAGTCAGGATAATAAACTTTCTGAGTAAAAGTTAGTCGTACTCCAACAGCATTAAGCACATCTCACTTTTCCTTCCGGTTTGCAAAGGCCGTCTGACATAGCTTGTTTACCTCATGTTTTACATGACTAATGTATGCACGTAAAGTTATACGATTGCATGATACGGAAAGAAAGGCCAGAATGCGGAATTCCAGGTAATAAGCAATCGATTAGGCGTTTATGGTGAGTTCTCGCCTGAAAAGAATGCGAAAATTTGGGGTGAGGGAAAAAGAGATTCTCTCTCGATTGCCTAAATTGTGAGAGTGAGAAAAGTGGCAAAATTAATCCATCGTCCAATGCACACGATCGCCATCAACGATTAGGCGACAGCTTGAAAGTTGTATGAATATAGAGCTCGAGTATTTAGGAAGTAAGTTGCGGTTTTTCCGCGTCGCCAACAGGAATATTTATGAAGTTTTGCGGTAAAACTCATTGTCGTGTGTTGTTAAATTAAATAATTTGCTAGGTATTGTATAGAAAGCCCTTCAACCCAAAATGCATACATGGGTTAGCAAATATGCAGAATGCAGCTGGTTCTGTGTATGATGCATGAATTTTTTTTTAAATTCCTATAACGAACTAATAACCTAAAAAATATCTACAGGGTACGGGAGGAGAAATTTACTAAATTAACATTTGGACACCTGGCGAAGAAACAGCGTTAAATTCTCTCATAACGCTACATACACAGGTTAACAAGCTATGGAAGAAATATGCAGTGTCTAATGGATAGTTAAAAACCACCATCTTCTATTTACAGTTAGTTACTTGCTCTCCTATCTATCTTAAGGCGGTATTTTTTCCTTTTGTCGTCACATACGCCTCATTGTTCCCGATTATTATTAAGTATGACCAATTGCTGTCATTGCGCATATTGTTATAAGCTTTGATATAATTTTAGATGCCGTACAAGGATAGCTTAATCAGTATGTACCAGGGATTCGAGGTAGTCGTAACATGGATGAAAAAAGACTCTCAATAAATCTAGAGTATTTTTTTAATATAGCGGAAGGAGATTGAATATAAAAACACCAGTTATTATAAGTTACATGTTAGAAGAGCTTAACTATATCACTTTCTTATTGAGTTTCTGTTATGTTACATTTGTTTCATGCAATTTTTTGTTATTTCAGATTTATAGTAGTTACATTTTATTAAGAATATCGGTATAAATTTTGAATGTCGTACGGCACGTTATCTGCACCTTCTGAAATGTTCGGCATAAGTTCGTCGATACGTTCAGTAAGATATATATTTTCTCTATTATTTGTAACTTTATGTAAAGTAGAAGTAATGGGTAAACATCTAGGAGTGCAGTGAAAATCGTAGACACTCTTGTGTGTCGGGGTCAAAACCATTCACTAAAAGTATTATGACAACCCAATATATAGCACAATTTGAAAACAAGACAAATACTTGAAAATAACTTTTTATTAAACTCCAAAACATTTGAACCTGACGTGTGCCATTTTTAGCCATTTTGTTTACTGTATTGAATACTTCGACAACTTTTTCAAATTTTATTTTCAGCATCGATATCCTCTGAGTGGAGAGCCAAGACGCGATAGCGACTCGCACAGCCCGATGTCCGAACCTCGTTCTCCGCTGTTTAGCAGACCATCCATGGCGGCAGATTTACCGGCTCACCTCGCTTCGCTTTACAACTCCCCATATGCCGCGGCTGCGGTCGCGGCGGCCGTGGCGGGACAAGGGGCTACGGGAGTTCCACCACCAACATTTTCACCCTACGGTAGAGCACCAGGAGCAGCAATGTTTTATCCAGGAATGGTAAGAACATACGTGAATACATAAAAAATGCATATGCTTTGAACGATAATTGAATATTATATAAATGGTACGTGTATAATGGACTTTACTCACAGAATTGACGCATCGTGGTGTACATACATAAATGACTCTATTTTGTATTCTATAACGCTGTACTCAATTAACATTTGCAACTGTTTAAATAAATAAGTTCTTTTGTTAATCGCAAAAAAAATTAAACGCATATGATTAGTGATATATGATTGGTGTAAAAGTTTTCTCATAAATGGAAGTTTTAATATTTCACCTACTGCCATTCATCTAAACGCATCTCGCACTAAATTGAGCTAGTTTCACTAACGCAATATATTATTATTGTTACTTATCTTCCTAACAAAATTGCATTCAAATTTTTATTTCCAAAAAAATAATATTTTAAATGTCAACTAGCCGTCGTTATCTAGTATATATGTGTAAAATAATATTGTGCAATATTTGATTCCACACAAGGAAATAGCAAATTAAGATACAGACCTTGTTTGACAAAATATATAATAGGCATATTCGATTTTAAAACGGGAAACCAATGCAAATTCATATCAAATATCGTTAACATCGTGTTGAGAATCATCACAGAACTTCCTCGTAGAAACCACTAAAACAATAGGTGTATCTGTTACTAATTTACATAGCATGTGATGCAGTCAAAATGGGATTTTATCATCAACACGATTAACTAACACGTCGACTCAGTAACTATAAAGCCGGAACAAAAAAAAATGAAAAGAAAAATGAAATTTTGACTTTATTTTTAAAGTTAAAAATTTGAAAAAATCAATAATGACATAATATGGCACTTATACATGTATGATTCACGGTTGAAAATCGACGATTTTTAGTCTTTACTACGTCTAGTTTTTAAGAAGGTCAATCCGTAAGTCAACAAAGCGAGCATTTGTATATAAATTGTAGTTTAACTTCGAGTGATATGAGTATTATCATCCGTTGATATTGGTATATTTACGTGAAACAAAAACACACTAGGAATACTGTATGGGGTATTTTCAAATTCATGGATTTGATTTTTGTTTTGCTTCGAAATATTAGGTCGCCATTTAATTATTGTCCACATATGGTGTTTATTGTATTTATATAAAAACCTGCTACAATCTTTGTATACAAATACACCAAATGTGTAATAAATCGGTAAGGTAATGGGGAACCGTAAAAATTCCGGTACCGCCAAAGTAGCAGTAGCTACTTTAATGGATGCTTATACAGAGCCTTATTTGTAGCGAAAAAAGAAACGTATAAGAAAATCTAATCAAACAAAATTGAAATCCAATGTTCCCTTATAATATTGCCTCATCTGTTTTGTTGTTTATTGTTCTCACAAAATCTCCATTTTTAAATATGGCGAAAGTTTATACCAAATGTATATCCAATAAAATGATGTTATTTTCTGTCTTGAACACGAGAAAGCTGATATTTGGCATACAAATTTGATCATTGACGCCATCGCAATTTGTAATCGTGTTTTTGAAACAATTTCTCAGATATTGGATCGCATTTAACACGCTAATGAAACTGTTCAAAACCTCCATAGCTTGTTTTAAAACAGATATATGCGGATTTGCATGTTGATGTTCTTGTTCTCGCATATAATTTGTAATTTGGCTGAGTCAAAGACGCGATGTGGCGTCGGATTTCCCGTTCAATGGTTCTGCAGTCAATAACATATAGTCAAGTTTATACGATGTAGTACAGTAATATGGGGTCAGGGGCTTGCGTTATGTGCCAGTAACGCACAAAATTCATGGTGTTTGAGACAAAATTCTAGGCGATACTTCATTTTGTGCGAGTAAGTCCTATGTGACATAAATACAACCATGTAAAAATTTAGACTGACCGGCACAACATGACAATACTGTAAAACATACGGAAAAATTTGCATATATCTTTGTGAGCATCGCATATAGTTCAGAATAGATGAGAGTTTTTTTTAATTCTATAAAAATTTTGTTTGATCTAGTTTCATGTAACACTCATATGCTAATTTCACAATAACATGTAAATCTTTCAAAAATATATTCGAAACAACGGAACCAGGAATAAGGAATGATATGTATTGAGCTGATATAAATGCTTTATTTTCATGTATTATGTTTGGTCACTTGTTAATTCGTATTTATTGAAAATATGTAAATTCGATGATTCCTTCCGAAAAACGACATCGTTTAATACCTCAAATATATGAAAAATATTGAAATTAAAAGTATGCTTACAAACAGAATTAAAAAAGTATAAACTCGTTGCTGTTGTTTGGGATAACGATTATTAATATTTTATTTATGTAGGTGGGCGGAGAAGCCTGGAGAAGATCGCCGTATCTATCACAATTGGATTTTTGTTGGCCACAGTAAGTTCTATTTACTTGTGTAATCGAATTACTACTCATCAATTACTTTAAGTTAAACAGCAATCAGCTCAAATTAATTTCATCACATCTTATCAGATTCATCGTTTTGTTATTGTATTAAAGTCCATGCATCTGAAATAATTGGTTAACAATCCATATAACCATCATGGACTGGTAATCGGACCAGGGGCCGTGGCTCGCCATATGATTAAATCGTCTTATCGGCTTTTCTTTCCCAAGGTAAATATAAAATTCCTATCACATTCTAAACGTTTTATTTCTATCAATCAGAGTTTTTAGCTTGTTTGCGCTAATATTTCACGATACGATGGTGCCTTTTATTAGTACACCCTAACCAAGATATTTAAAAGCATGATAAATTTGATAAAATTGTTGGCAATATTTAACCATTTAAGAATGATATGTATTCGGATTAAGGGTAAAGAAAGGGCAAACGCATAACGATAATGACGTTGTACGAAGATGTTAACATAAAGCACAATATTAAAAAAATCGGAGATTGATGTATGATGTGGTCCCAACGCAAACATAGTGATCTATTGTAACGAAAGTGTGTATACATCTGTAATGTCCTCCTAAGTGGTGGGCAAACCCGTCAATCCCCGCCCTCCATAACAGTAATAGTCCGACGAATATCAGTTTTTATCATATTTGAGCATGATCAAATTGATTTTAATATGAAATACTCAATACCGTTTGTGGCAATAAGGGTTAAGCTACACGCGCTTATTGTAATACAGCTATTGTTCGTTTTCACTTCTAGATGAAGTATCGAAATTGTGTTACTGAATTGAGCAGGATTAGATGTTTAATCACGACATTAGTACCGTTGTGTTTGACTAGGGTAAAAACTCGTCTAGTCACCACAATAACAAAGAACACCCCTAATCCCTTTGCAAGTCATTGTCATTATGAAACACCTGAATATGCACTGTACCGACCTAAAATCAAACAATAATCGTGCACAATGTACGAAGCTTCCCGTTACCTATTATTTAGATTTCATTATTGAAGCCCCGACCCAACCGCACCTATATCTTCAACTAATTTGGTGATCAGTTATATTGAAAGACGTTTGAAAGCGTAAAATTTTCATAAAATAAACTCTGGCCGATGATGGCCCAAAATCGTGATAATCCATTATGCGAGCATTATATTAAAAATCAAAATTCATTAAATTAATATCGGCCAGGGATAATCTATGCGTTTAAGGTAACATTTATGTACAGATAATGTTCGAAAATGGTATACAAAATACAGTTTTCATTTTATTACGCACAGAAGTGTTAAACCAGAGAAACAATAGTATTTAACATTTGCTTAGTATAAACTTTTCACGGCCTGCCTATGATACATTGACGTTAGTCATGTACATACAAGCTAAAAATCGAAAAAATAAAGAAAGAATGTTGACATTGATTTTTTTTTGTTTCCGTGATAATCCGTCATTTCGACGGTTGCGACACAAAAGAATCGTGTAACACAGTATAATACAATATGAATTCGTTATATGTTACTCTTTGTTATTCGCTAATTCATTACATTTGGATACATTTTGTTACTATGGACGCTTACTATATTAGTCAATATGGTTTTTAATAGACGAGGGGGTAAACCAAACATTGGTAGTAACAATTCTCTTAACACTGTTAACACTGGTTAACGGCGATACTTTTATCGGAAAATGTATTTCAACTTGGTTTTGAAAGTTATGCGTACCATTTCACCATGTTCAAATCACAAATAAGGGTAGTTTAGCTTCACAATACCCTGCAAACTCTATTAGTTTTCGAACCACTAACAATAAAAACCCTATACATGCCATTGTAATCACGACAGATTGTGACCAGTTATTTTTTACAAAGATCGATGAAATTGGGAGAAATCGTGGGATTGAAATGACCGTTTTTAATCGAAATTGGTTTCATTCAAAGACACGGCAAATAAGAAGCTGCATCGTTTAAATGGAGCGTATTGAAAGGAAAAAATCGCTTAGCGGCTTTTTTAGGAAGCGGATAATCACCATTACATGAATCCACAAGAAAGGGATATAATTCCCACCTTTCCCTTTTAACGTGAAGATGAATTTAGTTCTGACGACTTAAATACAATACGCTGTCATTATTCAGGCATAAGAATTCGATATCCATTTATAACAAGGTAATTACTGAGGTTTTAATGCGTTTAGATATGAAATGATATTTTTCTTATTCGTCATTAAAATTTGAACGACGCACAAGAGCGTAATGACGCAGGGATGGTTAACAAAAGTATTACCTTATTCCAAAATTGATTTTAACTAGAAATCAAAAATATGGATGAGATGGATGTGCCGCTGTTCACGTACAAGTTTCCACAACATCTTGTACATCCATTAATCTCGAATATATATCGTTGTAAAATACCTAGCATATGGGATCGACATGCGTGTTGAGGAAAAGGAAGTTTCATATATGTGGAAGTTTAATGTTATATCACGGGGTCATAAATGTACGTTTACTCAGAACACGACTAGTACACAGACAAACCTAGCACGTTTTGATCATAACGTAAGACTAACTTCACTTCAGAACTCAGGTTGCGGGATGTCGCCGACAGAACAAAGGGATGCGATTAATGAAAGCATGTCGTGATTAATCCGACAACATAACAGTGAACAATCGATGATTTTCACTGATAAGTTTTCCCCGAGAAGCTCGTGACACCACACGTTCATACAACTGTAAATGTTGTCATCAACAATACGGAATATATACAAGTATATTTATATCCAATATTATGACAAAATAGTTATAAAAACCTCCATGAATTCCGTATATGTAAAACAAAAAATTAACACAAATATTAAAAATTTTGATATTTATTACTAAATCAATGTTGTAGTATTATAAAAGGCTCAATTGGTAGATTTGCATGCCTACCATCGGAAATTTGAACGGGTGCGAATAAGCTCAGGGAAATGAAGATGGGAGTAAATATATGATTGTAAATTGGTAACCAAGGGGAAGAGTTTTGTCTTCATGTTTATGTATCCATATACATATGGGTTGTATGCAAATTTGTATGGGTGTAAATAGGTTATTGCAAACAGAAGTATGTCACCAAAGCGTCCATTTTATTAGTCGCTTCAGCATAACAATGTGTAAAATAGTCGAACGTTATCATTAGACCGATGAGGAAGGATGAAGTCATGGTAGGATCAAAAATGACATTACCACGACCTCATACCATATGTTAAATCAATGTAAAACTCAGGTTAGAATTTGTAACTAGATACGTTATTCATGCAGTTCATGTAAACTATGTTGCGAGTCGTGCAACACAATTTCCGTGATGTGGAATGATGCAACGTGATTTGACAGCAATACCTGGTTAAATATTCTTTTCCGCTTAGTAATGTGCTTTGTGTTAGCCATTAAATATTTTGCAAAAAATTGTATTTAATTACGAAACTCTACATTGCTACCATACATATGGTGGGATTGCATTCTACATCATAGCTCAAAATCTCCTGTAGATAATCCAAAATGGAAGACAGAGACAAAGATTTGAAACGAATATATTATTGTTCGATGATTTCAACTGATCATACACAAATGCAGTTATTCAATAGGATTATATACCAATGTTATCTGCGCATGTATAATTAATATTAAATAATGTTCACGATAAGCTGGAGAAAATCACTCCCGTCATACGCATGTCTTTGTGAAATATAACTTTAAGTTTATCTAAGTGTATTTGCAAATATGCAATTGTGCCAAGTTCTCGGATGTCAATGGTATAGATTTTGGGAAGTTTGCCCGATTAGTAAAAACAAGGTCGTTTCTAAGTATGATTTTGTGAGTTAATCCTTATTCATGTCGCCTTCGTGCGAATGATTGCGTCTGAGTGCGATACAGGAAGCAATAATCATGTTCCAAAAAGACCTTGCCAACAATAAAGTTGTTTCCAAAAACAAGTATTATTAATAAATTAGCAATTCAAATTTATTTAGGCCAAAAAAAAAAAAAAAATCCGTAATTTCAAATATCATTATTATCACTAAAATTTAAAATGTGTGTGAAATTTTTCGTATTTTCAGGGGATTCAGATCTCTTGAAGCTGTAGTTGGACCACGAACAAAAGCACCAAGAGAAGCGACCAGTATTTTAAAATCATGGTTAAACGATCACAAAGACAATCCATACCCGACAAAAAGTGAAAAAATGACTTTATCTATTGTAACCCACATGACATTGACACAGGTATGCATAGCAAATAGAAATTAAATGCGAGGACTTTCGATCGAATTCCAACGCAAATGTATGGAATGTTCTATTCTATTTTTATTAGTTTAGGATTTTTAACGTAGTGTGCTCCCTATACAGAGTCTGCTTCCATAATATTTAAGCGCATATTAGGTGAAAAGTTCAGCAGTACATCTTGCTAGCATTTGAAGAATGGTAGAAAAGTCGGGCTCCAATATACTTTTGAAAAGTTTTTGGCATGATTTTGAACACAATGATGTATAATAGATCGTAGTACATGAAAACAAAACTCCCTATACAGAGTCTGCTTCCATAATATTTAGGCGCATATTAGGTGAAAAGTTCAGCAGTACATCTTGCTAGCATCTGAAGAATGGCAGAAAAGTCGGGCTTCAATATACTTTCGAAAAGTTTTCGGCACGATTTTGAACACAATGCTGTATAGATTGTAGTACATGAAAACAAAACGAATCATGTAATGTTGTTGCCCAGTTCTTTAGACTCACTTGTGATATTGTTTACATTATGAAACGAAATACAATGAACATTGAAGTACATTTATCAATACTTGCGATAAATTATAAGTTTGTTCATCGTATTAAGTTTGAAAGATACCTTGCTGGCAAAACGTTATCAAATAAATTTTATGAAGGTTCTTAACGCGATTCAAAATTGAAAAATAATGTAAGGATGCAGGTTTCAAAATGCGGTATTTATTTATATCACGATTTATGAGTATAACATGTTTATTCTGATGTTTCTTCTTCAACAACAGGTTTCGACTTGGTTTGCGAATGCACGAAGAAGAATCAAAAAAGAGAACAAAATGACTTGGACTCCCAAAACTAGATGTGGAGATAGAGACGGGAACAGCAGTAATGATGAAGATAATGAAAAAGGTAGACTGCTGTTACATTAATTCTGAAATGGCGTCAACCATACGCATAGTCTTTTCGTGCTGTCAGGCGTATTTCAGGCATAAATGTGATTAATATAACATTGCTTATTCAGTCAGAAATTGTCATTAGAATCGCCTACTCAATTGATCTAATACCACGTCTCGCGGAAAACAGTTTCTGATACAGAAAGTGTATTGTGAAAGCATAAACAAGAACTTCTCAGCAGGGTTTCCGCTGTCAAGCCACGACGCCTACATTAATCCTGCTATTAGATTCCACGCCCAAATGTGCGATTTCTCACGTCCATTCGATAAAAAACGTTCTATATTAAAAAAATTGATTGTATTATCATTGTCAGGGACTGTCATGTCAATTTGGACTTTGTCTTCCCTGGGGTACACCGTGCGTGACTGCAAATCGAGGCGAGGCAACATAAGTGCGCAACACTTTACGTATTCTGTTGGGTTCACGTGATTGACTTTTAGCTATCGCAAAGTGAACAAGGCATTTGAGACGAATATTAAGCATTTGAAATGAAATATACCTCATTCAAGTGTCCAATAGGTTTATATTACACAGAAGTACTCTGCTCATAATTGTTCTCTTGATTTGACACGCACCCATACGACGTCATTTTTCGACAAATGAGAAATATTTTGGTAGATATTGTCCCAATATGAGTTTTGCTGATTTCCTATTTTCATCGAATTGACCCTTTGCAGAACAAAAGTACTGATGTTCCTAGTATTTCGTGCGAGTAAAAAGAAGAAAATGGCGCCAAAAGTTAATAAATTTACATGCCCATTTCATGTCTCAAATGTAGTTCTCATATCGTGACAAGAATTTGAATGACATCTAGATGGAATCTAGGACAGATTGGTTTCGGATGGAAGCGATCATAAACACTTTTTAAATACACCAAAATCCGCACTCCGTGATATTATTTATATGAAAGATTTGAGTTATTTGAGTTCGTATAGTTGATTGCCATAGATTACATTTTAGCCTTTTTTTCGAAATTCTGTTTAGATTACGATGGACGACCGTCTTCGCCATTTACTTTGACACCCGGAATGCACCCAAATGCTATTAGAAAGGAATCCATAGAATACGGCATAACCAATAGATGCCACTCCCTGAGCGACGCTGGGTCTTCATCATCTCATTCGATCAGTCCAAACTCGCAAGCTTTACGATCCAATCCAGTTTTCAGAGATATTTCCAGAATGCGATCTTCATACTACAATGCGAATCCGGCAGCATCTTTTGAAGAAGCATTACGACAGCAAATGCTCTCAAAGCATCAAATCATGCTGACACAAAATCTAGCTCAACGCGAGCAAGGCATCGATCTTGCAAAGTCTACTAAATCCAAGGAAATGGAACTTGAAGTCAATGAGAAACGACCCTCGCCACCAGCTCTGGCGAGAAAAAGGTTTGTGAAACAAGAAGAATTTGTCCACAGCGAACCAGACGAACCGTTATCACCGGATCGCAAACCATTTGTCAACTTAGAAGGCATGAAAGACATTGACAAATCGAAAAATCACGAAGATACACCTCCATTCGATAAAGGCGATCGGGGATGTGAAAATAATGAAAAAACTCCCAACTACAGAGCAGATAGCAGCAATGGACCTTCCCACATGCCCCACAATACTACGCCGAACAGTAATGAAGATATGAGTCCTAAAGAAGAAAAGAATTACACTCGACCATCTTCAATTGATAGCGGATTTGAGAGAAAAACGCCAGAAGCATCGGCATCAGATAGAATACCGACCGATTCAACTACACGGGACCCTGTTTCACTTGCAACCAACTTAATAACAAAATCCGCCGTGGATGGAAAACAAGACGCTCTATCATGCTGGATTCGAGATTTCCAACAACTGGTTGCATCAGGACAAGAACTGAAAGCAAAACAAGCTTTGGCGACGGCGCTTGCGGTGGCAGCTAAAGCAGGAGCGTACTCCAACACGGGCAGACCACACCGATTTGCTCCATACTACCGACCTACACATTTGCCTCCTCAAGAGAGATCGCAAAAAGAACTATTTTATCCTCGCTGTGTAGGATTATCTCCTCAAGTTGATCGCAGTAGATTGCAATACCAAACCCCCGAGAAGCAATGCGAACAAAGGTCTATGTCATCAACTTCAACTGACGACGCAATAACATCTTCAGATTCCAGTCAAAGACGCGGTTCTTCACCGGAGACGCCACCCATGAGCGCAGTCAGAATCCGTTCACCTTATCGAAGCTTGAGCGCTTCTCCAGATAACATGCGTAAGTGAAATTTTCTTCCTACAATTACACCATGGTACCAGCGTTTGGTATATTAATTTTCGCCAATAATGAATTACTAATAATAAATGGGTAATCAAGGGGTGTGACAACGCTATAATAGTGCATTCGTACTCTAAAACGAAGCGGATAAATATTGAACAGCAGTTATCTAAAAACTTCATTTCAACAGCTACATGTTCAACATAAGCATTAGATGAATAACAGTGCTAAAACAAATTTTTTTTTCATTTTTTTTTTCATCTTTCTCATCGGTTCATTGCAGTACATTTAGAGGAAATGTTTGTGATTTTTGTTGAATAGGATGTAGTGGGTTCTATCCCATTAAATTAATATTAACTTGAGGTTTTTGTTTGAAATCCAGAAATGCTTGTTTGTTTTGTCAGACTAAAAATAATAGTTGGAAATCAACAAGGAAGTAACTAAAAAGACTCACTTTGACAGGCCCACGCCCGCGCGATATAAAATGCGTTTTGGCTTCGCAATCATAGAAAATAAAATATCATACTTATACTTTATTTACTTACAATCTAACATACCAAATGGGCAATTGTTAAATATAAGTCATCTGTCATAGTATTAAAATATTTTAATAAAAGGGGGGATAATCCAAAATTAAACATGTTACAGGAGGAAATCTCAAACAGGTATTTCAACAAAAATTACAATCCGACATTTTGATTTGATTGTAGAAAATTGATGCCATCGCATAGAGAGTGAAGATGTATTGCTTACTATGGCTTTGAAACATTTCAGAGTTATCATTTTAGGCTGTAGATTAAATTCACATTTGCTGGGGTTTTCGTGTTATAAAATTTATTCTTCATTCATAATCCGCTCCAATTTTACAATTAGGTTGATATTTGACCAAATAAAACAACAAATAAGCAATGAAAATTTCAGTTCAAGCAATTTATACTGAATAAATAATTTGTCTATTATACTCAGCGATTCTGCTTTTGATCATGTCCGATTTAGCAACATTTTCTCACAAATTTTTTGCGAAGGAAGTTATTGTTTCGTTGAGACTTCCCATAATAAAAGTGAGCTAAATATATATTATAGTTTATTTCTATACCACGGCACATATGTGGGATGCCTACTTGCATGTCGTGGGCTGTAGATCATTATTCTGATTATGTTACTAACAAAACATCGCAAAATACAGTAATCATCATTATACTACAATAATATTGCAAAATAAAATATGAAATCGATTTGCTAAAAATAAATGACATATAAAATGTAGGTGTTAATCAGTGTATACTAACTCTTTATAATAGCTATTATTTATGTCAATCAACGCTTTAACGCATACGTTAATCAGACATATACGTAACGGATAACTTGAAACTTAGAATTTAGGAAGGACATATTTACTGATAAATTTAAGTGCTTTCATCAAGAACTTATAGACATCAGAGAGTATTATGGTGTAAATGAAATTTAATAAAGATTAGAGTACTTCGGCATTACGGTGTTACTTATGCGCTATATTGTTGCGAAATAAAGAAAAATATTGGGCAGAGACGTTGTGTTTTATCAAATCGTGCATAATCTGCTCCTAGTAAGTTAGACATAAGAAGAATTGGGCAACAAAATAGAAAATTTTATCGGCTCGACGTAACCTATCTGGTTTTTTACTCATTTAAAGTAAACGCATAATATAGTTTCTATCTATATAATTATTATGCATTCATCTTTGCACAGCGATGAACCTGACTAAATCGTCGGCACCAAGCAAGGACTGGAAACACGGGCATATGTTGGCAACTGACGATACCCTCATTGAAGTGTGATGACAAATGGCAACAAGATAACAACTTGGTAAGTAAGTGGTTAATTAAAGCAAAATCATAAAATTATATAGTCAAAATGTTCCGTCGTCAGCAAAATCGGTTAGGTGATTATTTCAGTAAGAAACCCGAACGCTTTACGTTCACTTTATACTTCGGGGAGCAGCAAAACAGTTTTGAATGTAATATTAGTTGTACAAAATGTATAAATTGCATCACACTCATCAAACTTTCCAAACAATAACAAAAGGTAAACGAGAAACTTTACACGGTAAAATACCACGCAATGTAGCGACGTGAACGGATTCCGGAAATGTAGTCACTCGTGTATAAGTTGTTAGTCAGCCTGTATTCGCTACTTCACATTCAATACTTGATGACATCATGGAATATAAAAGTCATGCCATTTCACCGCATTGTTTATAAGAGATAAACTTTGGAAGTTTCGCTTCTCGTCGTCTTTTTATATAAAATTTGCATAGAAAATTTGCTGATATACCAGAGCTAAGCAATTTCGGAATTCCACAACTTACAACATATTATCAGCCCCGATATCGCAAAATCTAAAATTCTGAATTATGCATTGGCGTTAAAAGTTGATCAATTCAAACGATGGCTATAAAATAACCAACAGTATTGGATTGGTATTAGATACCCTCATACTAAACAAGCGCAGAGTCGTGCAGTCGGAATTTGACGTTTTTGCATGCATCGTAGTCAAAGTCACATTTCCAAATTACCGAAGTCTAAATTTAAAACTCGCAGGAAATCTGATATCACTATATTCGAATTGCTAACTGGAAATATTCAAGCTACCACGTGTCAAACTTTTCGTTGTCATAATTTCTTTTTCACGAGGTCGAGAGCCGTAGTCGAATTTTCTAGCCCAGACTAAAACGGGACTCGTTTTTTATTACCCCCGTGTCGCATAAAACATATCTTCGAATCGAAAGCAGAGAGAATTTATGAATTCGAATGTACAAATAACAACTAGAATATAATACGAAAATCCCAATAATATAATGTTGATTCATGTCTAACACTATTATATCTCAAATTCACGCAAAAATTTTGAAAGCTATTTCAGCGTGAAAAAAGTATTTTGAATGTTATAATACATTTCAGAATGAGGTTTCTCATAAAAGAGAATTACAATGCTTATATTACGAAAAATTAAAAATTTAATCATTTTCGCCTATTCCATAAAACATGACAGTTAGATGTTGTTTACCTCTATAGGCGCATAACCTAACTGTTCCCACCCATGCCGACACGCAGGTAAACGCTTGCGGTCTGCCAAGAACAATTCCATAAAGCTGTAGCTTGTTATTTTAGCACTGATATTGTATTATAACAATATTAATTGTTGTACTCTGACCCTAATAAGTGGCAAATAAGTTTTGAATTGACATCGTATTGGCTGTAACAACATAAATCACCCATTGTGGTTGCATGGGAACAATAACATGGCATATTTTTCTAATCGACCAAAGAGATGAAAATAATACTGGTGGCCGCGCTTCGTGATTTGTGTACATTATACTAAGTTTTTGTTTGATTTACCAATGGATTTTTTTTAATGTAGAACACGTTTTTCTGATACACTTTTAACGTTAGTGAACTATGTAAATAACGCCGTAGAAACGCCACCCTCACACGCAATCCTTGTTTTCATATTCGTCCGTTAATACTCGACAAAGCACAGACGATAAATGATTTGCTTTTATCCAAGATCCACGATTGACAGCTACTATGTAGTATTACCTGCATATTATTACAACCCATGTCATAACAAAAGAAAATCTTTTTGTTAACATTTTTCCATAACCAAACGCGGCTTCATGAAGCAGTATTCACGAATGAGGGCAGGTCCGTTACTATAAATAAATAAACAATCTTTTGAAATGCAAAAAGACACAAACGCATCCATGGGGACGATAACTTAATATCATGTTTACGACAACGCAAAAATGATAATCTCAAACCTAATATTATTTTTGACTTTTGGAATTGAGGGATTGTAGGATAAAAGGACTATGTGTTATATTAGAGTTTGAGTTCATAATTTTATTTTAAAAATGTATGCCATTTAGAAGAAAAAAATTTATTACTGATTTCAACAATAGGAATCCATGTGAGTTAGGCGATTTCATTTACGTGCTGCATTCCCTTACTCGCAAAGACTGATTTTGACAAAATTACAGTAAATGAAACCGATATTTGGTAATTCTGTTTTAGATTCTGAATTGGAATAGAGAAAATCTCCCTAGAAGATCCGTCATCGAGTTTATTATGAAAATTCTCAATTCTTCTCATCGAGACCTTGTCTTTTTCACGAACTAAAATTCTCAAAAGTATGTTCCTCAAACACCGACTATTTACTGTTGCTATTAGTTCTTTTATTGTGTCATTTTTCGTTTATTGTTATTATATTTTTTTCCTTCGGCTATATTCTTCAATCAATAATAAACGTAAGTCGAATCACTCCTATTTTGGAACTATGCATTGAGTAAAATGCTTTTTTATCGAATCTTAATTAATAAGAGCAACAACAAAAATTAAAATTTTTGTATTTGGTAATCTAAAATACAATAAGAAATAATAATTTTTCAAGTGAAAACGGTTTCTTTTTTCAATCTTTTGTATTACTATACTGCTCCATTTTCGCAAGCCTGAGCTGCTTGAAAGTTATTATGACATATTGATAGTGATTCGATAATTTTTTGTGCAGTTTTCGTCGAAATATATTTATGTGTAAAATACAAATTTGCGTCAATTATGGAACAGGGAGAGCCACCAGCAAAGTCATTCGTTAAACATAGAGTCCTCAGGAATCATATTAATAAAACAGCAGGTTCAACTCTCGCGTAAACGCCTATGTGTTCAAATAGAGTTTTATCGGACAACTAAAATGAATTCTATATATTTATATAGATATATATAAAAAATTCCATTGGCCACATCCACCTTCCAGATGCGAGGATTTCCATGCAATCACTATGATATACGAGTATGAAGGCAATTTAGGTTTACTCGGATATTCAATTCTCGACTCAAAGTAAATTGGTACATGTTTCGCTCAGTGTACACGTGACCACCGATGACCTCAAAGTTGGCGCCCTTGTTTTTATTGCTAGCAACATTGTTCAGACGTGTTTATGCAAGTTTACATATGTAGAACTGTACTGAGTGATGTCAAGTGCTATTGAAACACTCATGCAAGGCGTCGGTAAGCCTTTGAAATAAGTTTGGAACCGGAACTACTATAATACAGTACAGATGATTCGCGTGGTGAGAACAACCCTGGTCCCGGGATCAGCAATTACCGGGTAAAGTAGATTATTGGTTAGGGGAATCACAAAATCAGATGCATCACATAAGTATATCCATCCCAATATTGTGGAAATCCGCAAATAAAATTAATTACTTACTACTACGAAAATAATAAAATTTAATTCAAATTTATTTTTGTGTATAATTGACAATTGTACCCAAATGTTTCAATAATCTAGGACGCTTCGCACAAAGGTTATGTTGCCTCTAGAATATGTCACAAATTACCTTTGTTTTTATTTTCGAGTCACCATATAACAGTAAGAAATATATTCCAAATGCGATTCCGATATTAGGAAGACATGTAAGATCCTACTGCATCACATGGCTGTTTTTATCTTGTGTGTAAACTGTAACCCTCTAGCGCTTCTGTTGAGGGAGTGCCGGTAAGTAAATATTATCAGATGTATGTTTGACGGGATAGAAGAAGCGATGGTGACATACTGCCGAATAGTAGATTGAGGACATAAAGCTTAACATAGTCTTGTATTATTGATTTCGTAAAGATATCAGAGGCACATATATTTCTCAAATATGATTATTAGTGTGGTAATCGCCAGTATAAATTGTAATTCAAAATTATCGTTTCTTTGGCGAAGAACAAACAAAGAAAATACCAATACAAATGTAAGGGCCTTCTGTCACAACGTTCTCCGAGGTACGCCAGAAAATCTATAAAATTTGATCAAAACCCGTAATTGTGAAGTATATCCCCGATTTATGAAACAAAAACAAATGCGTTGAAGATTTTGGAACAATTACGTAGTCTAAATCGACGAAGATCCTCATAATAAGCTTACCCAAACAATTCTTTGAAAAGCCAACAATCCACTTAGCTTGTCGAGCTGCTACCATAACACAACGGTTCTTGAAAAGAAAGGTTTGCTTAGACATCTGGCACTTGGTAACTGGCTTTTTCAACAAATGTTACGGATGCCGCACACAAGTCGACACTCTTGGTTTGTTTTCAAAAACAATTCCAATTTTTGGGAGATTATTATACTGCTTTTATAGAGTCCTTGCGCCTCTAGTGTTGAAATTATAAATTGTCGCATCATAAGTATTGCGAGAAATATCATTCAACTTATTTCGTGATAAATTTAAAAATAATATCGGTATATACGCTACCAAAGCAGCAAATTAAAAATTCCGATAAATTATATTTATCAAATCAGATATTATAAACTCAACTCTGCTGTCCGACATTCGAATTTATTGCAACGGAATTAACAAAAGTATGCTTATTTTGACTTCATTTCGTACTCGAATATAATTTTAAATCAAGTCCTATCTTTAACTTCAAGTTTTGACTTGGACTGCTTAATTGGAAACTAAGTTTTAAAAGCTTTACAAATAAATTCGTAATTTTACTATGCATTTTACCTTTGATCTCTGGCTTCCATGTATGCCAGTTGGACGACACTACATTAGAATGTTACAATATTGTAACTTATATTTATCACATGAAATGATATGCATTTTTCGAATATAAACCATTATAAAATACGAATAATTATTTTACAGATACTCGAACAATATTTCATTTTGAAATGGTTGTTCTCTTATTAACGATATGTTTGAAAACACAACGTTCGATATATATTGTCTGCATACTTATACCACACAGATAGAATTTTGATCTGTTATATGTCGCCACTTTGTTAGTTTATCTAGTTCAAAAGTTAGCACAAAATGGAATACTTTACAAATTTTAAAGCAGCTTTCTCTCATGAAAAACCGCGTGCTATAATTAAATCTATATCGAAGCTTGAGTTGGAATAATCACATTATACTTATTCCCTATCTTCGCCAGGTCGAAGGTTGCAACGAAAAACAGAAGTGGAACTCCTGTTTTGTGATTTCAATGAAATAAAACACTCTAATTCGTCTATTGAGGGATATTTTTTCAGGATTATAACCGACCTGGTAAGTAGTATTGATAAATGATCGAATTCTCGAGCGGTTTAGATGCACACCATACCTGATCCAATTACATTAAATTCGAGATTCAATAAATGTGTGCAGCACATATCGCGCAAAATAATTGCATTAAATATGGCAAGATATCCGAATGGGCATAAGGCGATGAGCATATAAAATGGAATAAATATGTTTTACTGGATTACGCAGACTTTAAGGCGGATGGTAGCCACCAATTTCCAATTTGATAAGTTTTATAAAAGAATGAAAACGCGCTATACAACTAATAATAAAATTTGATAAGTCATTTTTTTCTGACAAAAGATTATTGTAACACTGATATCTTCTCGCAGTGGGACGGGCGCGTGACCTCACACGAAGCGGGGTCGAAGGTTACCTGAAGAAAAGCTTCACGGAAATATAATTAGCTAGTTATGAGGTATATATAATTCTCTTTTTATATAATTACCACAAATATACTTGTTCAGACATTAACCGAAGATAAAAGTTTAATTTTCAAACATCGAGCCATATGTGAACTATGATTTTAATTGATGCAATGTCAAAATACACCATGTCAAGGATGATCTACAGTCATAATAGATAATTTTGGCACGGCCTAACTGTGATCGTATGAAAAGGAAACCAACACGATATTTTCGATTCGTCAAGAAGGATATATCATGGTGTTAGTATTTGAAACCATATTAGTTATCATATTAATTTATTCAACAGCCGCGACAAAACTTGAAACAAAACACTATTTTCAATAATAAAACTAAGAAAGTGAAAAGTATATGAGTATAAACTGTCCGTCACCTGTTGTATCATATTTATACCGATCAAGTGACACACACACGTGGCAAAAATCGCAGGTGAATAGTTATGGTGCAATGTACATCCCGCTGGGAAATAAAAATGGCGTCGATGTCTATAATCCGCTACACTATCCCAAAAGTCTTGATTACGGGCGACGGCACTCATTCTGCACAACTCTTATTATGTGCGATGCAATATTATTTTGTATATATAACTCATTTTATATAATAAAGTACGGATTGAACCATATTTGCCATTCTTTTTATAGCATGCCGATTGTGATCCAATTTAGGGCTAGCGAAAGACATCATTCATTACCTCCGATTAACACAGGACCGTTTCAGAGTACGAATGTTTCAGTATTGTGACGACAACCGTTAGAGTTCATTGCGTAATCTTGTTAAAGACGATGCGTATGGCCCTGGAAAAGTGTTTGGAATTTACCAACCTAAATTGGTCTCACTCCAATATGTCCCCAAACACATTTATACAATAAAAAACGTTGAAAAACATTGTCCGTTATGAAATCCTGTTTTGTGTTACCCCCGTGGTATTAAAAAGGTTGAATACTTCTTAATATACTTACCAAGACATAATAAAAACATATATATAAAGAGAGATAGTAGATCTTTTTAATGTCTAAGTATATTTAATTATGAATGAAAATATTTGTAACAGAACTGATTTCATTGAATTATACACTAAGCCTGATTGCAGATAAATCATGTTTGGGAATAGCACGATACATCGTCGATTTTATTTGATCAAGAATATGCCAAAATAAGGTATTAAGAACATCTAGGAAGTCAGTAATGGCTTCTGGGTAACAAGATAAAATTTCGTAAGAATTTGGATTAGCTAAAACGTCCCGTTAATAAGCGGAAAACACAATTTTCGACGCATTTTCCTGTATTTCCAGAACAAAACAGTGTTATGTCTCGTTTAATTGACACCAGAAAAAGCTTTTTAGGATGCAAAACACATTCTTTCATGCATAAAACCATAAAACACGGAAAAACGCGTAAACAAAGCCAAAATAAGCTCTGAAAAGCGAGAAATCGAATTATTAATTACTCATCCGGGCAGAACGAGATTTCAAAATATGGCACATTCTCTTCTGAAACGATAATTGGAGAACGAAACATCTGACGTAATTTGTTTGAATATGGATTCTGGATCCCATCAAGTTTTTACATTCGTTTGTTCATGACTGTATACTATACTAATATTCGTATATATTTGGCTTTTTCAATTTCATTGTTATCATCTCTACCTTTCTTGCGAGCAGTTTTAAAGGGATATTTCTATATTACTGCGTTAAGATTGGTTTATTAAGACTAATAGTAGATCGTTTTAATCAGTTTGTTAAATTTTCGACATAGGATTATATCGTGGGGAAAGCGCTTGACAGTTTGAAAAGTTAGACAAATACCAAAAAAAATCTTTTCCAAAATATGAAATAAAAATTTGATGTTTTATCCAAATTTACAGAAAAATAATCTCGATTGCTCAAGCCCCCACCAAATTGATTTTACACAACTTCTGATTTTATTTTATGGCGTTTAGTCGAATGGACATTGAAGTTTTAGACTTTGTAGTCTTGTTTTTGGAAAACCTATGCAGTCGGAAAAAATTCATATTCTTCTCCGGCTCCGGTTTAGG